CTATTTGAAACTTCGTTTAGAATATACTTTCGTTACCAATAAAATAAAAATCTCTCAATCAATCAGAAACCCAGATTCATGCCTTCGGGGAAAGTCCCGTTTGGACGCTCACATCGTTTTTTGTTTTTTTTCGTTTGGGGAAAACCAAAACTGGTTGCAATTTTCGAATAAGAATGAGTCGGCAAATTTTTAGTGGAGTCCAAAATTTGGAGGTAAATAAAATACCGAAATCTGACAAATAATTAGGCGACCAAATTTTTAGAAGGGTCGAAATTTTGGAGTTTTTACGGTACGTTACGCTGCAGTCTGTTACCATAGCTGCACCAACCTGAACAATGCAAAACCGGTAGGGTGCATAACCATCTAAACCAAGTTGCCATGACAACTGAATAGTATGTGCAGTACTTTCCTCAATAGTTAGATTTGTAGGAATTTCAGGTTTTTCTGCAAAAAACAAAGATGTTCAGAAATGAGTGAAAAGGTAAAACTAATATTCTGAAGAGGAATCAATTTTGAAACGACAGGTTTTATGGAAACTCCATGGGGCTCACCTTTCACATTAATCCGAGCTGGGTTTGAGAAAGTATCGCCATTTGAGTTAGTAGCCATGCACATGTACGTAGACGTAGACTTCTGAGTAACGCCTGCAAACAAAATAGGGTGAAATACATATTAAATTCGCAATTTAAATGAACACATCAATCAATCCTGAAAGAGCAAACAAAACATCTGCTGCAAAAATCATATAATTTGATTTTGAACTTGAATTTCTTCTTTTATAGTTGAATTTCAAAATCCTAAGCTTTCTGAAGGAAATATGGCATACAAATGTTGAATGTATGTCGTGTTAAATAACATACCTGGTATATTGAGCGTAATGGGTTGTTCTGGTTGATGTAATTCATGTGGTTGTACATTAGCTAACTCGATACCATTATGAAACCAAGTCACTGTGATTGGGTAGGGGTGACCTTTTGCATTACATGATAGAACAAATGGAGTATTGCTGCTAACATTGATACTATTAGGGTGCAGTGTGAAAAACGGTGGACCTAGAAATAAGACACAAATAATAAATAACTTTGAAGCAACTTAAAGTAGAAAACCCTCCATTTGAACTACTGTAAAATCCGTATTAGAAGCCGCGGCTTCTATTAAAATGGTACAATACAACAGAGGGGATGTGGCTTCTATTCGAGCATCTACACATGAGAAATGATGAATTTTTGGTTCTCAATTATTCAAATAGAATGGATGCGACTTCTATTAGGGATGCGGCTTCTAATACAGATTTTACGGTACTCTAAAAACAGAAATTGAACTTAGAACAGCTGTTTTACAACATACTGTTTTACCCACCAACATATTTTGGTCTAGGAGGTTGAAAATAAATCCGCAGTTGCAAACTTTATCAGGCCATAAGTTATTGTGACAGGAAATAGCTCTATTACATCAGTGGCGTTCATGTTCATAAGATTTTGGCACGTGCCAAGACTTTGGAGACTAAGACTCTGGACCGAATGATAACCGTCATCAGCGACACATAATTATGTGTATGGTTTTTTCTTGCAATATGCTACATTAATGTGAAAATATAATTGTTTTTCGAATCTTCTTTGCCGTTCATGTGCATAAAGAATCGTAATAAAACCATAACAGAAAATGGATACAATTTCAATATTATTATTATTGTTATCGGAACGTCAAACCAATACATCTGTATATCTATGACATGATATATAATGAATATTTAAAATTTGAACACAATCAGTCAAAACATGTCAGGCTATAGAATCACTTCCATTAAAACAAAATGGCCAAAAGGCAGGAAGACCAATTTCAAAGAATTCTCAGTGGTACTTCAAAACAAGCAGCCTCTCGGCTGAGATAGCTCCGCTGTTAGCAATGCACATTTCAATTAAAGAACAGAAGATATCATTAGAAAATGAACAATATGCATAGTATCAATGCAATGGAACTTGCTGTTTTCAACAAGAATTTAATAAAAATATCACTTTTTACCAAAAATGACAAAAATATTCATCAAAATTAGAGAATTGTAGATATCATTATGAAATGAACAAATTTGAGAGTGGTCCACATGTAGTACCTATATATGTAATATCAAAGCAATTGGACTTGTCGTTTTTAACAAGAAGTAGAAAATATCACTTTTTACCAAAAATGACAAAAATATTCATCAAAATTAGAGAATTAAAGATATCATTACAAAATGAACAAATCGGAGAGGTCCACATGTAGTACCTATATATGTAATATCAAAGCAATTGGACTTGCGGTTATTAACAAGAAGTCAAAAATATAACTTTTTACCAAAAATGACAAAAATATTCACCAAAATTAGAGAATTGAAGATATGATCATGAAATGAACAAATCTGAGAGAGGTACCGGTATACCCAAAGTACATATACACCAAGTATCAAAGCATTCAGGCTTGTAGTTTTCAAGAAGAAGTCGAAAAAGTAAAACATTG